GAGAGAGAGAGAGAGAGAGAGAGAGAGAGAGAGAGAGAGAGAGAGAGAGAGAGAGAGAGAGAGAGAGAGAGAGAGAGAGCGAGCGACTCTCGAAAACAAAATTCTCGAATAGAGAAATGAGTCTGGTTTTTCGATCGACGAGTGTACATTCCGGAGTCGCGGGTCTTTATAAACATATTTTCTGTTGAAAGTTATTCATGTGCTCTCTGCCAGAATCAAGACTGATGTTTGCTCTCTGAAAACGACTGTCGTAAATAAAATTCTTGGATAGACAGCAAAGCCACTAGTCCCTCTCATGAATATGTATCTTTGAAGTGTATTTTTTATAATTATATTTTATAATTATATTCGCTTTTTTATAGTTCAAAATTATTGTTTACTAAGATTAGATTATTAGAATCTGCCTTACACGAGCGCGTCTATTCTCCGGTGTATCGCAAATTCCCGTATCTCGCTTCCGCAGCTCGATAATATTTCACCCTCTCTTAGAGCAGATTCGGTGTTTACTCTAATCGCAGTTCCCGCACTAAAACAAGAAACAAATCCTCAATTTCAACTTAACCATTTTCCAAGTGTACAAGTCATAAATGCGTATTCAAACTTAGCAAACGCATCTCACGGGGGTAGAACGAGTATTATTATTATTATTATTATTATTATTATTATTATTATTATTACTACTAATGCGTTCTCGTCGCTATTATTGCCAGTACCATTACTCACCGGTGCTCTCGGGCTCATTAGGCGAATTTACTAGGCGCATTTGCGTCGCGAGTTTCACCAAGCAGTTCGCCCCGAGAAACGACAATTTTCGCGTTGTCGCCTTACGCGAAGTCGCCCCGCGCCCGCGCGCTCTCGCGAGCATTTCCCCGCGCTCGCGTTTCCGCCAGAGCGTAAACTTCCTATAAATAAAATGCACGCTTCTCCGTAGCTTCCGTTCAAATTTCGTCGCTGCGAAACAAGTAGCTGCGGCACGACGACCGCGTTCGCGCCCGGCATGCAGGGCCGCATTTACAACGCCCGTAAAATTTTCTAGCCTTGGTTGCTCCGGTTCGCAGCCTTTCTATTTCGGGACAACCGTCGTCGTTCGAGCTCTCCCTCGCTGGATGCCTTACACCGTCAACCCTCCTCTTTCTCTCTCCGTTTTTTTCGCTCTCTCTCTCTCTCC